GCTTCATGATTCATAAAAATGAGCATGGAGCATTGAGAGGAACTGCTCATATATTTTAAAAATAATTTTTCTGAAAAAGACAAAAGACAAAAGAAATATTTAATATCCTTTTTTCTTAATATTGCAAACAGATGGGTAATAACCATAGCAACCAAGGAACACACTCAGGTATAGTCATTCAAAAGCACTGCTGATTGTAAGGCTACATGAAATATACATGTAGTTCAGTGGTTACTCTTCAAAATCTTTGTGCAACTAAAGTGTTGCACAATAACATCCTATTGCTAATAATGCACTCCTGTTAATATATCACTGAATATGACCCGGCACACTTAATGTCCAGATTTTAGAATAGATCCTGGTCTTGAAAGGGAAATGTGAAGCAGGAATCCAAAATGATTGGTAGAGAAAGCTACTGAAGGAAGAAAACAACAAAAATTCTCTATAACTTCAGTAGAGAAAACTAAGAAAGAGCAAAGTGATAAGTAAACCTTCAATAAGAAAGTGTAAAATAATTGAAAATGCTTACTCAAAAAAAAGAAAGAAAAAAGAGAAAAGTAATAACAATAGACAGTCAGCATAGATATATAGTTGCTGTGGTAACCATAGGGATTAAAAGGCAGTAGTATAACTGCCAGCTTTTACTTGGTGGCAAAGCAAATGAGACAACATTCACTGATAAGTAATGCTTTATTTGTAAAGAAAATATACCAGGGCTCAGGCAAAGTGTGCTGCACGGAGGACACCATTTTGTAGAGCTTTGTACTTCACTCCCACCAGCATCACCTCACACACACTTTACACTTTACACAGAGGATGCCGTAACCTACTGCTTCTCAAAGTGTTCCACTAGCCTGGTGGGCCCATGACAATTCGTTTTCTTAAATTAGTGTTTCTTAAACTGTGTTCCGTGGCACACTGGTGTGCCACGAGGCAATTGGAGTTGTGCAGTGGAGAACAACAGAGTTCAAAATGGCCGCCCTTAAAGGCCATTCCCTTGACCCTTTTTCTTTTTTTTTTCCTCAACAAAAAAAAAAAAAAAATCCTTGGTGTGCCTCATAAAAAAATTATTGTTTGGTGTTCCTTGGTCTTAAAAAGTTTAAGAAACACTATCCTAAATGGTCTGTAGCCATGGAGCCTCATGGCTTCTACTGGCTACAGGTCTCCATTTCCAGTCATTAGGAGCAGTGAGAAGTGGCATGACCTGGGCCGCTGCTTCCTGTTGCTCCCTTTGCCTGGAAACAGTGAACTGGAGACAACTGGAGCTGCGATGCTCTGTGGCTACAGACCCATTAGGCAAATTAAGTGGCAGAGGCCCGCTAGTGGCTTTCACAAAGCAGGCTGGTGGAACACTTTGAGAAACACTTGAGAATCACCGTCAAACCAAAAAGTTGCTGTGGCTGAATTCCCTAAAACCTTTGCATAAATTAAGCTCTTCTGACAAAAATGAATCTATGTTGAATCCTTGACTTGTGATGAACTTGGGTATCTTTTCTGAAGCCTTGTCCTGAAACCATCTATTCTCTGCAATATAGGTGGGCAAAGAATATAGAAACAACATGAATAGTAATGAAGTGGGTGTTTCCTTAAGCCAGGGGTGGGCAATAATTTTTAATGAAGGAACACTCCAAGATTTTGGCAAGTAGTCAAAGTCCACACTTCTATGGAGGGGGCGCGGGATCTGGGATGGCGGGTGGGGTGTAGAAGGGAGTTTGGGATAGAAGATTGGTGTGCAGGAGAGAGTGTGGGGTCTGACAGGGAGTTTGGGTGAACGAGGGGCAGGGTCCAGGTGGGAGTATGGCTGTAGAAGAGGATTCTGGCCTGGGGGAAGGGTGTAGGAGGGAATGCAGGGTCTAGGAGGGAGTTGTGACCTGGAGGAGGTGAGGAGATGGGATACAGAGGGTTTGGGTGATGACCTGGTGCGGGTGGAGGTGATCAGGGGTAGGAAATTTTGGGAGAGAGAGAAAGTAGGATGCCAGAGGCAGGCTTTCGCTGGGAGAGGCTTACCTAGACAGCCTTGCAGGAACCTGAGATAGGTTCCATTGCCTTTCTGCTGGGCTGGCTGCTCCATGTGGCTCTGCTCCAGCATGGAGAGAGAGGAGTGTGGGCGGGAAAAGGCTTTGCTCACTGCCCCTGCCTCCAGCAAAATTTCCCAGTGCCTATTGACCAGAAACTGTCCAATGGGAGCTAAGAGATTTTGCTAGGGAGCAGGGACAGTGCACAAAGCCTCCTAGTCCCTCCCCAGTGTGAAGAGCATGTAAAGCCAGCTTTTAAAGTGGCAGCTGCTGTGTAGTAAGGTGGCAGCGAGGTGATCACGGGCTGGATCCTGTGACTTGGCGGGCTGGAGGCAGTCTACTAGCTGCCTCTTTTCCACCCCTGTCTAAAGTTGTTTATCCCCACAAAAAGTTTGTCATAGGTTATCTTAACATAATCTAGGCTAAGTGAATCGGTCTGGAACAAGCTAAGTAATTGACAGCCAGTCTCATATTATAAATAAGTATAAAGTATGTTCACTTAGTTTGATTTCAGTGTGTGTGTGTGTGTGTGTGTGTGTGTGAAATCCTTCTTTCTGAAGCTCTAAACAACTTTAACGGATAATTCACTAAATTATTATTTAAAACAAAAACAACAGTACCAACTTTTTTCCACAAATAAGAACATAAGAACATAAGAACGGCCGTACTGGGTCAGACCAAAGGTCCATCTAGCCCAGTATCCTGTCTGCCGACAGTGGCCAGCACCAGGTGCCCCAGAGAGGGTGGACCGAAGACAATGATCAAGCGATTTGTCTCCTGCCATCCCTCTCCAGCCTCTGACAAACAGAGGCCAAGGACACCATTTTATCTCCTGGCTAATAGCCTTTTATGGACCTAACCTCCATGAATGTATCCAGCTTCTCTTTAAACTCTATTATAGTCCTAGCCTTCACAGCCTCCTCTGGCAAGGAGTTCCACAGGTTGACTACACGCTGTGTGAAGAAGAACTTTGTTTTATTAGTTTTAAACCTGCTACCCATTAATTTCATTTGGTGTCCTCTAGTTCTTCTATTATGGGAATTAATAAATAACTTTTCTTTATCAGCCCTCTCAACACCACTCATGATTTTATAGACCTCTATCATATCCCCCTTCAGTCTCCTCTTTTCTAAACTGAAAAGTCCCAGTCGCTTTAACCTCTCCTCATATGGGACCCGTTCCAAACCCCTAATCATTTTACTTGCCCTTTTCTGAACCCTTTCCAAGGGCAAAATATCTTTTTTGAGGTGAGGAGACCACATCTGTACACAGTATTCAAGATGTGGGCATACCATAGTTTTATACAGGGGCAGTAAGATATTCTGGGTCTTATTTTCTATCCCTTTCTTAATAATTCCCAGCATCCTATTTGCCTTTTTGACCGCCGCTGCACACTGCGTGGAAGTTTTCAGAGAACTGTCCACGATAACTCCAAGATCCCTTTCCTGATTTGTCGTAGCCAAATTAGCCCCCATCATACTGTACGTATAGTTGGGGTTATTTTTCCCGATGTGCATTACTTTACATTTATCCACATTAAATTTCATTTGCCATTTTGTTGCCCAATCACTCAGTTTGGTGAGATCTTCTTGGAGTCCCTCACAGTCTGCTTCTGTCGTGACTATCCTAAACAGTTTTGTATCATCTGCAAACTTTACCACCTCACTGCTTACCCCTTTCTCCAGATCATTTAATATAAATAAAAAACTATTTCACACAACCAAAATTCCTGCCTACAGTTAACTTCCATAACACTAATGCTCCTGAAATATCTGCATTCCCAACTAAATATGCTAAACCTCAAACAATCTCAAATGTCTAATCAACTAAAAGGGCTCTGTGATTAGGCGTACCAGCCCCACACTGAATAAGCAAGGTTTAGCCAGGCTATGCTGGCTGAAGGAGCCCTGCCTGGGCAGCTGTGCTGGGCATTCTCAGGGTATGTCTACACTACCCTCCTAGTTCGAACTAGGAGGGTAATGTAGGCATACCGCACTTGCAAATGAAGCCCGGGAAGTTCAAATCCCGGGCTTCATTTGCATAAGCGGGGTTTTAAAAATGGCGGCTCCCCGCTTATGCAAATGAAGCCCGGGAAGTTCAAATCCCGGGCTTCATTTGCATAAGCGGGGTTTTAAAAATGGCGGCTCCCCGCTTATGCAAATGAAGCCCGGGAAGTTCAAATCCCGGGCTTCATTTGCATAAGCGGGGTTTTAAAAATGGCGGCTCCCCGCTTATGCAAATGAAGCCCGGGAAGTTCAAATCCCGGGCTTCATTTGCATAAGCGGGGTTTTAAAAATGGCGGCTCCCCGCTTATGCAAATGAAGCCCGGGAGAGGCTCAGTCTGGGCCAGCTGGCAGAGAAGGACAATCTCTGTAGCTCCTGAGCAGCAGCAGCCAGCGGCCAGAGTGGAGAACAGCGGAGGCTCTGATGACAGCTGGGACACGCCCCTGTAGATTCCCAGGGATATGTGGACCATGAGGAGCCAGAGGACCCAGCTGCTATGTGAGACGCCGACCTGTCGGATTTGGTAGGAATCAACCCACAGAGGGTTCAGGCGTGTTTCGGTTGGATTCCCCACCAAGGGAGTAGTGGACTGCTCTGCCACTCACAGGGCCTTGAGCTGGGACCTGGTGGAGTAGGGTGAGCCCAGGGCCCCTACCAGAGCATGTCCCTTCCCCCCTTCATGACTTTGCTCAGTTGGCCATCTAGCCCTGCCTTAAATGGTCAGCCATTGAGTTTAAGCTATTGACTGGCCATTGAGTCATATAGTTTTGCATTAAAGTGCCAGTCATTTGACTTAACTGTACTGATTCTGACTTAGTTGGCCTACCAGCCCTGCTTTAAAGGGCTCCACATTGATTCAGGCCATTAGGCTATCTAGCCCCAAAGTGAGGGGGGGGACTCTTGGGGAAGGTTACTACAGGGTTTTTTCCAGTCACACAGGGTGTGTCGTTGACTCAGACAGCCCACGTTCATGAGACCCTACCTCCTCGGAGAGAGAAAAGAAGACTGCCTTGCGACAGACTTTCAACAAAATCAATCCATTTGGCACCAGTTGAATGTCCCTGATGATCTGAACTGTGGCAGTGACATCTAGGAAGAGAAGCAGGTTACAAGTCTTTTAGATCAACATCGATGCCTTATACTGTATTCAGAAATCACAAGTGTTCAATGCATGTTCTTATGCTATAGTGACATATTCTTTCAAAAAGCTGGCTACCATTTTATTCATCAGTTGTTTTCTGAACTGATGTAAGATGTAGACTCATGTAGAGTGTTGTTGTTAGGTGACAATGATATTATGAGAGAGTATATCTGAGAGAGAAATGGGTCAGATGCAGTAGGAAAAATATCCTGGCTACTTCAGCTACAGGATCATTAACAAGGAAACTGACCCTGGTCTCTGTTTGTCAGAGGCTGGAGATAGATGGCACGAGACAAATCGCTTGATCATTGTCTTCGGTCCACCCTCTCTGGGGCACCTGGCGCTGGCCACTGTTGGCAGACAGGCTTCTGAACTAGATGGACCTTTGGTCTGACCCAGTACGGCCATTCGTATGTTCTTATTTTCTTATCTTCACATTAGGGCTACGTCTACATTGGCATCCCTTTCCAGAAAAGGGATGCTAATGTGATGAGTCGGAATTGCAAGTAGGAATAAGAAATCCTCCGGAAAAGGGCTTATTTTCTAGAGAATCGCGTCTAGACTGGCACTTTTCTCCGGCTTATCCCCAAGCCGGAAAAAAGCGGCAGCCATGTAAATGCAAATGCCGCGGGAGATATTTAAATCCTCCACGGATTTGCAATTCTGAAGTGTCACATTAGCATCCCTTTTCCAGAAAGGGATGCCAATGTAGACACAGCCTAGGTGTGTGTGGGTTACACAAGCACCATCTACATCATCCCTGATAGATGTCTATCCAACCTGTTCTTAAATATCGCCAGTGAGGGTGATTCTACAACCTCGCTAGGCAATTTATTCGAGTGTTTAACCACCATGACAGTTAGGGCATTTTTCCTAATGTCCAACCTAAACTTCCCTTGCTGCAATTTAAGCCCATTGCTTCTTATCCTATCATGAGAGGCCAAGGAGAAGCATTTCCTCCCTCCTCCTTATAACACCTTTTTAGATACTTGATTAGATACTTTTAGATTATCCTCCATGTCCACTGTAAGTCAACTAATATGTCCACAAAGAGCTGATAGGCTTTTTTATCAATTGAGAGAGCACATAAAATCTAGTCACAATATATCCCATAGTAAATAGTAAAAGAGAACAGCATCTGCACAATGTTCTGTAATTTTGCTGTAAGGAGATACAGAATGCAAAGATTCAGGTCAGGTTGGAAGCATTGTCACAAATGATATCTAGTTCATTACAGATGTGAAGAAAACATCAACATACAGTCACAGTACTTTTCCCTTTAAAACCAGTGAGTATACTGTGATCAATTAATTTTAGCAAAGATTGCTTAGCAGGTGCCATTTGATCAACACAACATCATTTTCATCTATTTTGTATTTTCAAATATTAAAGCAAATGTCAGAGTAGTTCTCAAAGTATATTCACTGAAAACATGGCAAAGCATTCCAGCATTTTGTCTGGAAATGGGTGACAAGGGAAACATCACATAAGGATTACCTGTTGTGTTCCCTCCCACTGGGGTATCTGGTATTGGCCACTGTTGGCAGACAGGATACTAGGCTAGATGGACTGTTGGTCTGACCCAGTATGGCCGTTCTTATGTTCTCATTTATATGAATACTGCACAAAGGCAGAAGTTTGTGTGCCCCTGTTATCTGCTGAGACCTCTGCAATTCACAGACACATCCTTATGGTACAATAATGTTAAATCTGGATGGAATTCAGTGTTAGAGAACTGACAAAGACCTATGAGCCATTTAAGTCCCACATAAGCCCTAAAAATAGGGGTTATGTGAAATTTAAACAGGTCTTAGGCCTTGTTAAAGACTTATTCACTGGGAGGAATTTCACTTGAAAAAGCTGGGATCAGTTTTTTTCATGTTAATTCACTTTACCCATAAACGAAAATTCTATCCATAATGCTAGATAAGCTGACTGTCATGTTCTGAAATAAATCCATGAATCAGGGAGCCAACACTGTAATTTCATATTAAAAAGTCAACCTTTAGAGTGAGAAAAAACATTATTGTGCCTTCCATGAAACCACAATTATTAAAAGGGAGAGAGAAGTTTTGTTCCCTGTCCTCAAAGTCAGTAGACTCCAAAGTTTAGAGTTATAGAATTATAACAATATGGCCAACTATATAATATAGAATCTACATTAGATTTTAGATATATATTTTAAATTTCCCATGCTGTTCATTAAATTCCAATTTTAAATCTCAAAGATTTTAATTTAAATAATGTACCATTTTATAAAAATAATAAGGCCTATCAAAGGAATTTGTCAATGTAATATATGTCCCCAACGTTTTGGCTATATTTTCCTGTTATTCCAGGTTAAATGTTAAGATAAAGACTTTCCTCTTAACTGTTCAAACATGGCTTCCCTGTGCCTTGGGTTGGTGAAGGTTTGTCATCACTGATTCATCCCCTGGGAATGCAGGGTTTTAAAAGGGGCAGCTTGGTGACTTAAGCTTTCCTTTTTATATGGACCAAAGCTGAAGCAGGCTAGTTTCTCCTTGTGGCTGATGAACATTGCAGGTTCTCCTTATGAAAGGTATCTGGCATGCAGCAGGGACTATGCTGATAGACCAGCAAAGAGAGCAGTGGTTCCCATGTTCTGCAGCTTTGTCCCACCACCAGCTTTGCACATTCACCACTATCATCAGCCACTAGGATCCTCCCCACTCCCCACTAGTGGGACAGCAGCAGAAAAGCAGGGAAAGCAGGGATCCAGCTAGCAGCAGGACCCCAACTGTAGTGATGGGAGGGAAGAGATGGAAAATATATGACAATTTGCCTGTTTTTAAGAAAAAGTTGTGACACCTGCAGGAGGACTTAAAATGGGATGTCTGGTCACTCTACCTCTAGGTAATTATGGAATAAACATGGAGATTACCTGCACTGCACACGGCTATCTGCTGGGTAGTCCCAGACTCCTAATAATGAAGTTGCAGCTTGATTAAATGTCAAATGTCTCCTGTCCATTTTTCAGTATAGCCAGACAAATGCATTGGTACCTCAGTGGGTCTTACTGATGCATGAATTGATTTATTATAAGGCATATTTTAAAAATTCAGCATGTGCCTAAAATTCACTACAGTAGTAGGTCAGAATACACAATTTCTTCCTAAATTATATATTTGTGTGGTAACTTGATTTGAATGAATAATCTGCATTTAGTAATTTATTCAATAAATTTCACATATTTCTTTGTTCAAAAATTTATTTCCCCCTGTATATTAGCTATTCACTGTTAAATCCAGTAATTATGATAATTTATTTACAAGGAGTTGTAAGTGATCAATATTCAGGCTTTTCTTTTAACTTTGTAAGGAAATATATATTCTGAGGATTTTCTAGGATTTTCTAGGAAGGAAGTAGAGTGAAACGATATCTGAATATATAGCCATTTACATTTTGATAAGTTAGGCTACCTAAATAAATTATAGCAAATGAGTAAAATACATTTGCTCAGAGAAATATGCGTAATATTCAGAATAAAACCAATAGATTTACATGTGGGATAAAGCCCTAGTTACTTAAATAACTTAAGTACCATCAAATTTATCCAGCAAAAGAAAATGGACAGTAACAGTAAAAGTACATGAACTCTTGAGAAAGATACCTTATAGAGTATAATCTGGAAAAAGTTGGCAAAATGTCATACTAATCTGTTTTTAATATTCATTCTAAAATTTAGCAATGCCAAGGGGAACTTTGTAAAAAAAATGCCTTTCTATAATAGGAATAAAAAACATGAAGAAAATAGCTATAGCTCTAAACATTTTAACATTCAATGAACAGGTATTATGATCATGAAGAGCTTGGAAAACGTAGATAAAAACAGGAAAGAGAAGGGAGTGAGAGAAAGAAAATAAAGATTGGGGGAGTGAAACAAAGGAAATATTGAAAGGAGAGAATGAGCAAAGTGAGGGAGATAGAGGAAGCTGCATTTTTTAGGTTACAGATTCCTATTTCAAACAAATTCAAAAGGTGGGCAGTCCAGGCTTGATTTTTTATATAACTGATGTCTTTGAATTTAAGTAGTCTTAACCTCCCACCACTCTGCCTACTGCTATTTTAATTTTTAATTAAATACTTTAATAGGAGGCTTTATTATTACATAGGTCACTTTAAGCTTTTTCTGTATGAAAGTGTGAGTTGAAATTGCAACTGTGGCTAAATCCTTGGCCCTATACAGTCTACATGTTTGTGTAATAGATTGAACTTACTTTTCATACTGAACTTGATAATCAGGATACACTAGAAGTTGTGTTTACCTGTGTTTTTCCTAAGTAACAGGATATGATGAAGAGAAGTGGGAATTAATGACTAGGAACAACTTTAGCTGATATTATGTCAAATAGTGTAGTTGTACACACATTTTACCTGTATACATTAATTTAGTTATACGAATTACACTGAACTTAGCCCTTGACCACTTCAGTTATTCTACTTCCTTAGCCAGCAATTCCCACGTTTAGATCTGAGTTGATCATCTCTAGGCTTACTTGGAGTAGGGAGTTGGAGTTCTGCAGTCCACCAAGTGCTGTATCAAAGCAGTTCCCCTAACATATCTTAATTTTCAAACAGAATCATATTACTGGAGTTATGCCAGATTTACACAGATGTAAAAGAGATCAGAATCTAGATTCAGGGCTGAATTTGTATAATTGTATTTGCAAGGAAGCTTTCAAAGGAAGCAGAATGAAGCCAAAATTGCAGTCAAGATTGCAAAGGAACAAAGTGTGTACTCATCACAGTAAAATGCATAGTGTGATATTTAGATGATAACTTACATGTTCTGTTAAATGATCTATAAAATTCTGTTGCATAACTAAACAAGATGGTTTCTAGGGTATATATCAGAGAAGTTAGAAACACACAGAAGAATATGTATTTATTATAAATTATTATGTATTCTTACTATATAGATGGTGGT